TTTTTGTTCTATCAAAAAATTATGCCTTCTCAATGTGGAGCAGAGAAATGGGGCAGAATACTGGATCAAGAAAAAAATTTAAGATGGGAGACATAACAGAATGTATTATAATGTAAATGATTCCCTAGAAACTGGAATTGAAGATGCAGAAGGGGTGGGTTAACTGCATAAGGAAATGCCTATCAAAATATCTTCTGGTTTAATTTGAGATATATAAAAGGGGTCCCACATTCCCAAATAGAATGCCATCCTGTTTGTGACATTTCGAATTAGTTATATCCATGGCTCTAGAGAACCCACATTAAAATGGGGTTATTATTTTTGAAGGATAATTAAACTATCACTACCTATTAATGTCAGTAGGAGAAATTCTGCCCAGGCAAGAGGGAGGGAGCTAAACATTTAACCAGGAATAGCCAGGTGAGAGAAGAATGGCTGACATGAGGATCTGTACAACAACACAGACGGACAGTAATGATCATGCTGGAAAAATGAACCCATATCTCTGGCATGTCTTGGAAAATTTACAAATATGCTAACAAGTAACTAAGGGTTATTCCTCATGCCCTGGCACCATGTCAGTGTGGCACAAAGAGAAGAATACAGACTTTAGAGATGTCTGGCCTTAAATTCCAGCTGAGTCACTTAATAGCTACATAACCACTGGTAAGTTACTTAACCTCTCAGAGGCACAGTCTCTTTACCTGTAGAACCAGATGATGTCTTCTTTGCCAAGTTAATGTGAGATATAAATAGAATAATGTATAGCATTGCTTCTGGCCCAGAATAAATGTTTAATAAATAGTTCCTATAATAAATGCATATAATAACCTGTATTAACAAGGTAAAAACATAACACAGGCTGTGTACTTCAATAACATTCCTGAAAGAAATCAGTGAAATCATGCCATCTCAGCCAGTATTTGGTAAGGGCAGAAAAATGTCCAACACTTAGTTCCAATTCTCAATTTTCAAAATGTCCCAGAGTCTATTTTTAAAGTGTAAAAATATGTGCTGACATACTGAAGTGCCAATGATTTCAAAGAAACAATTCTGGGGATGTGTTGATCAAATGGTAAAAACTTCCAGTTTTAAGATGAATAAGTTCTGAGGATTTAATGTACAACATGGTGACTATAGTTAACGATTCTGTATTGCATACTTGAAAGTTGCTAAAAGAGTAGATCTTAAACATACGGACCACCCCCCCACACACACACAAAGGTAATTACCTGAGGTGATGGATGTATTAACTAATCTTACCGTGGTAATCATTTTGCAATTTATATGTATATCAAATCAAGTTGTACACCTTAAACTTACAGTGTTATATATCGATTATATCTTAATAAAGCTGGAAAAAATTTAAAAGCATGGATTCTACAGGTTAACAAGGATCAACAACTCAGAATAACCTCCTAAATAATGCCTATGGTTCATAAAGAGATGAACTTAAATGTATTACAGACCATGTTAATCAATTCTATAATTTTATAAATGTGTACGCAAGAATTAAAACGTTCAATAAATAGGTTTTTTAAAGTTTCTATTTGACTTTCAAATTCATCCACAAACTAAAATGTAGCATGGAAAATCTTAAAACGATCTTTAACCAAATACTGAAATATACCATAAACCTTCAGAGCCTAGAATCAGTAATAACCCAAAAGCCCCAAACTGAAGAGTCTTAAAAGTGTGAAATGGCAGGAAGTCTCAAAGCACACAACTTTACATACACAGACCATCGTTTTCCTCAAAGACTAGAAATGACTCCTCTATTATTTTAAATAAGCAGTGTGTGCTCTATCTCTGTTCTAGAAGCCGGACTTAAAGGTCACAATCTCAGTCTGCAATACAAAGATGGACCGATAATAAAGCGTTCTAATCAACAATTAAATGCCAAATGTCTTAAGAAAACTTTCCAGTAGGGTGCTGCTAATCCACAGACCGAGATATTTTGCCTGTGGAGGGAGAAAGATGCTTCCATACCCTTTACTAAAAGAGAAAGGGAAAGAGTAGGAGAAAAGGGGAGAGAGAGAGATGCAAAATAACAAAATACTGCTTGGATAAATAAAAGTCTGTTTTTAAACTTTTAGAAATTCTATCTTCCATTACCGAATAGCAATAACTATCAAAGTACATGGCAATCATTTGTGTTTTGAAGCAGAAAAGAATGTGGAGAGAAAAGGAAAACATTTTATCGTGTACTGAACTTACAAATATCCAAAATCCTTAATTTCCTCCCCCCGTCAAAAATACTGGGCATCGTATCATTTCCAAAATAAATTTAACACAAAACTGCTGGACTCGTTTTTAGCCCTCGGTGGAGAACTTTTATAAGCTCTCAGCGCTCTCCACTAAATAACCCTTCTGGGCGGCCCAGAATAACCGCTATTCTCGGAATAAACACGAGCTTGCGTTTCAATGCGCGGAGGGGCCTTGGTGCGCGGAGAGGAACCGGGGGTCCGGAGGCCGAGACGACGCTCTCCCTCGCTCCGCAGAGCAAGCGGTCCGAGCGGCCCAGGAAGTGCCCGAAGCCGAGGAAGAGCGGCGGGTCCCCGCGCCAGAGCAGCGCGCCACCAGGGCGCGCCCGTCCCGTCCCTCCCGGGGGGTCCGCCGTCCGGAGCCCCCTGTCC